AACTGTGCTCTCAATTTGATTATCTGAGCAAGGAGTTTAGCAAAAGCAGTTGTACGTGATGACAACAAACATACATGAGACCATCTTGATGAGGCATCTAGTAAGACCATGAAGTAACGAAATGGTCCAGAAGGTGGGTCAACAGGACCACAAATGTCTCCTTGAATACGTTGTAAGAATGTTGGACACTCATTGCCAACTTTCATCAGGGATGGCCTTGTAATTAATTTACCTTGTGAACATGCTATGCAAACATATTCATTGGGCAAAGGGATCTTATGGTTCTTCAAAGGATGCCCGTTGGCGTGCTCTAGTACACGACGCATCATGGCCAGGGTGACCAAGTCGATCATGCCAAAGCATAAATTCTTTAGGGTCACTGAACTTCTGGTTCACGATAACATTTGATTCGATGGCACTAATGGTGGTATAATACAATCCAGATGAGAAAACTGGAAGTTTTTCTTTTACTTGCTTTTGGAAATGATTCGTGTATGTGATACAAAGGTATTCTGTACCTCCTTCATTCATAGTTTCAACATGAAACCCATTAAGTCGTATATCTTTGAAACTTAATAAGTTTCTTTTTGATTTAGAGGAGTATAATGCCTCTTTTACAACAATATTGGTTCCCCCGGATAAAATTATATTTGCTCTTCCATAGCCCTCAATTAACTCTGTAGTACCAGAAATTGTACTAATATTTGCTTTTGCTAACTGCAGATCTGAAAAATACTTTTGATCTTTAAGAATTGTGTGTGTTGTCCCACTATCAACCAAGCAAACATCTTCATCTTTTAAGTCGTTCATGGCCTTTTGTTTTTCCATCTTGATAAAATACATAAATAAAAATAAGAAAAGTAAGAAGTCATGATTTTTTTTATTAATAAAAAAACATTATTCATGATGACTCAAAACTTGAAATTGGAAATACATATTATTTTGTAACATAAAATAAACTCAACTGAAAAGGACACAACAGACAAGACTTGAAATTAAAATAAATATTATTTTGCAACACAAATTAAACTTGACTCAAAATCACTCATCCTTAATCTTATTTTGGCTAACTGAAGGATCACCACCATAATATTCAGCTCCATTAATATCACGACTTGGCTCAATCAGAAAATCATCCACATCAAAATGAGTTGCTTCCATCAGCTCAATTGTAGTATCAAATTCGTTGTCAAAATCAACAAAATTTATCTCCTTTCCTTTTCCCTTTCCTTTGGTAGATGCTAGATAGAGATCAACAAGGTGCTTTGGTGTACGACAAGTACGAGACCAATGACCTTTCACTCCACATCTGTAACAAATTTCATCCCTTTGTTTTGAAGCATCACCTTTAATGATCTTCCCCTTTTCTTGTTTTTGGTCATTATTTTCCCACTTCGAGTGGTTTGGTATAGATTTCTTACTAAAAACATTGTTGTTGAATCCTCCTCGACCTCGCCCATAACCACGACCAAAACCACGGCCACGACCGCGACCACGAGCATGCCCTCGTCCAC